TTCTTCGTGTAAATTAGGTGTTCGTATGCAAGGATTTTTTCACACAAAAACGCCGAATTCGGCTGAATTTTGTTATCGGTTTGCTTAATATAACCCCAACAGATCGCATTTTCGAGAAAGATTGGTATTTTGTCCTGATTTGTAGGAATCTGAAAAACGCGTTTCACAACTTGTCTCTTATTTAGTTTTTTGCTGCATTCAAGATGGCGGCCCCCATATAGTAAATATCGTATTTATTTTATTATTACGTACGCGCCAGCTGACTGTGCACACAACTACCTATTACACAACAACTACCCACCACAGATCTACGCGCCCTAAGAATATTTCTATACTTGCCTAACTTGTAAACATTCATTCTCAGGCTCCCACCGCATGTCTGCGTATCATCCCCAGAACACTGCATATTACATTCGTCTTCTGAATCGGCTGCTCCGAAACGGTCAAAGGTCGTTCCACAGAAACACTGATTGGATTGCTCTACACCAGCGTATATGACATTCAGACTACCAATGGCATTCATGCATATTCCTTGGCATTTTTCAATGTTCATATTGTCGTCTGCCAGTGTCGAGTAGATGTTCAGCGCATTTATGTTGCCATCTTTGTAGCACCCTTGGTATGTGGTTTCAACTGCAAACCGCGCTGAAGAAAATGAATAAAAAAAATGTTATGAATGCATGAAACTTAGCGTCTGTATAAGGGCTTTTTCAAATGACGCCCGAAGCATTACGTCAAGGTCACGTGATTGATTAGTCACATGGAAGCATACGACCACGTGAACAATTGAAGAGCGGTGGTTCTGTTGATAATCATTGATTTTTCCACAATCCAATACGTCATTCTAATGAAATGTCATGAATTTGTTTTCGCGTATCTGTTAACCGACTTAATTAGCTGATTATTAGCTGAATGGCTGTGTTATGTCTGTCATCGTTTAGGCCTATTTGAAGTTTTGGACGGAACTTGGCTCAGTGATTTGGAACTAATTACGAGATAACCGTCGCTATTCAGACTATTATTTCTGACAGTTGGTATCCGTAGTTATTAATGTAGTGAACGATTAATCAAAAGATGTGACGTATTCAGTTCTCAGTGTGATTGGCTTTATGATTGAAGGTTACGCCCTAGAGTCTTTTTACTGCTTTGTAATTGGTTAGAGTTTTGAAAATGAATAAAGTTGTTTTAGTTGGTCTTGGCGAGTACAGCACGACGGACGAGAGCAGTCCAGTCCTGGAGAGCCTTGGGGCGAGTGTTGACCCAGTCTAAGAGAGTCTTGGGTCAGACTTGTGATAATCTTGGGGACTTTTCTCCAGGGCGCTGTGTCTTATAGAGTGCTCGACAGATCGACTAAGACGAGAGTTGAAACGTATTTCGTTGTGTGTGTCTTATTTGACTGTAAGGCTTAAGTGACTTCCTCGATCCAGTACCTCGAGGGGACGCGATAGAGAGACGAGACGAGGTTCCCCCCGGACACGTGTGGAGAACCCCAGAGGCGAAGAATCTCCCCGTGAAAGAAATCACGACTACGGGTTTTGATCTGGGCACAATGTGCACTAATCATTGCCGCCGATGACTACTTCGATATCGCACAATTATCATGGAAATTACTGTTAAATATAAAATCATGTTCAATATTAGTAATATTAATAACATTGGAATATCGGCGCTGTTTTTGCATTCTTGTTGTAAAGAATTTCTTACATTTCGATGTCCAAATTTGCTTCTGTGAATTTGCCAGACACGATGACTTTTGCTTACGTATTTAAGTTTGCATGAACCGTCCTGCTGAAGTAATTTGATAAGAATATTGCGTGAACTATAAGGGGGATGTAGTGTTTTATTTCATATTGACGTTACCGTCTCCGGTCCAATCAGAATAGCGTTCTTAAAAATGAGAGATGGAAATTTAAACTAATGAGACTAGGAACGTAAAGCTGATTTGTTTCTCGCGTGAGCATACAATTGAGGATTTCTCATTTACTGTGAGATCTCGCGTTTTTCGTGAACAGCGCGAACAGAAACGTCTGCCGCAGAAATCGAAATATTTGATTTGAATTTTTTTTTTATAGTTCAATATTGAAACATGGATCATCTTTCAGCGGAAAATGTCGTTCAGATACTCTTATTTTATCAAAAGTTACCATCTGCAAAAATGCACAAAAGTTAGTTTCCCGTTTGCCCAATCACGCGCGATATTTTGGCGCCACTACGACGCTATGACCTTTGTCTTGTTTTTATAATTCATTTCACGCATATCACGGGATCTCACAGTGAACAGCTGGAAATGGTAAATTGTTTTCAGGAATACTAAAAAGTCGCTGATCGAATGAGTATCACATCGGTCTGAATCATGAATACTGGGCTTTTCTTTATAATATTTAAAACAATATACGTTTTTTTTAAATATGCTGTTCGAGATTCGACGTGTGCTTTTTCAATTTAGTGTGGGCATGTGCACTGCAAGCCATTGATGAGATAACTAATTGTATCCCATTTGGCATGCTTATTACAACCAGCTATTAAAACCACACCATTAGGATGGTAGTGTGGCCAACGTTTATGAAAACAACCAAGCTTAATAAATGAAGCATTCTATATAGCATTCACAGATGTAAGGACAGGAACAGAGAACATCATGTACATAAACGTGTATAGAAATTTTCCAATTTCATCACTAATCAGGAATTAAAATAGGAACAGGTTTTCAGTTTACAGCATTAAATTAACCTTACAATAATGATACATTATGTGTTACAAACGTGAGTGTTGTTTTCATATAATCAGAGTGAGATCAGTCATTGTTTCAACAGTAGTGATTTAATCCCATTGAAGGCGGACATCTTGGATTTACAACAACATGCACAGAGAATGACCTCAAGTCATGGCCTCGTTCTGGCTCTATGCTAATTCAAATGTTACATGCTAAAACAAATGAGCATCAATCATGACATATTGTAACAAACGTGCGATGTTTTGAGTACTTGCCTATTCTGTAAACTGAGAGAGTTAGTTCTCCACCACATATCTCTGACCGATCACCGACACATTCTAAGTTACATTCTGATTCACTGATCTCTCCATACTTGTTGTAATCAATACCACAAAAGCACTGGTCTGACGCCTCGGTGCCAGCGTATATCACATTTAGGTCGCCCATTTCGGCTGTACATATATCGATGCATGTGGCAATGGTCATGCTGGGGTGATCCACGACATTATGGAAATCCAGTGCTCTTTCTTCGTCATTGAAACACCCCATGTAGGTGTGTTCGTCTATGAGGGATTGTGAGAACAATGTGTTATTACAGGTAGAATCACTGAGCCTGTGTATGATACACGTGCTCAAGTTGACGAGTGTGTGAGTGAGTGAGTGAGTGAGTGAGTGAGCGGGTGAGTGGTTGAGTGAGTGAGTGAGTGAGTGAGTGAGTGAGTGAGTGAGTGAGTGAGTGAATGAGTGGGTGAGTGGGTGAATGAGTGAGTGAGTGAGTGAGTGAGTGAATGAGTGAGTGAGTGAGTGAGTGAGTGAGTGAATGAGTGAGTGAATGAATGATGAATGATTGAATGTATGAGTTAATAAATGTATGAGTGAATGAGTGAATGGTGGATTGTTAATCTATGAATGATTGAACTAATTATTTAATCAATTGAAGAGTTGTTGAATAATGACGGAAAAAAGAAAGTATTACAGACGAAGAAAACGACTAGAGCGATAAGCGGTAAAGAAGGAAGATATATGACATTCAATTGACATTAAACAGGTACTTCATAATTCAATTTTACTACAACTCACTTGCTCTTTTTTCAATCGATATCTGAAAAATACAAAAAAATAGACTTCATAAATAAAACATATGAAACGGATATATAGGAAGATATATAGACAAGTCTTGTATGATTGATATAGTGAGGTATCTGCGAACATTGAAAAAAAAATTGAATTAAAATCCCAATGCATGATAATTAGTATTGCGGTTTTTGTTGTCCCTTTGTTATGATTCAATTCATGCAAACTCATTTCCGGTTTGCACATTAATAAAAAAAAATATCGCAAAAAGACCCATGTACAGCTGATTCACGAGCAAAATATATCATACCGCATAATTATAAAAAGTATAAACGCTTCTATTGAAATTAAATTAAAGATTCCAATTTATTTTACTTCGGCTCAATTTTAATTACAATTCAATATGTTGCACCGTGTAACGAACACTTTGGAAACAAACAACAAGATTTGAAATTGATGTATAGAGTTAATTGTTTTTTTAATGTAAGCTATGTGGAATATAATTTTATTTTGTGAAAATGTTGAACCTAAAAAAATCCATTAAAATTGCGGATTAGCAACAGAATGCGTACTTATGTAAATAAACACGAGAGTTGACAAACTACATTTTAATCTTTTAAGTGCCATATATATTTCAAAATTTTGTACAAGTATTTTCACATATTCTAAAATTGTCACTAAATGTACATGTATCATCGTTTTTGACCATACAGACAGTTTCAGATGTTGTTTTAGGTTTTTGATCAAAAGATTTTGTCGTAATTATAATTTTATGTAGGAAGTCGTTAGAATGTAAAAAATCATTGTGCAGATATTAAGAAGAATTTTAAACGTGCAAAGGGTTAAACAACCACGACCAACAAATCATGATATATCCATATCATATAGAATTAACCGTTTTGGCGCCAAAGTCGTATAGTAGTTTCATTTATACAATCTGCTCGTCTTCGCATAAAATAACATTTTCAAATGTTTTAATCAAAAACAAAAGACAATAATATATTAGTTCTGTTTGGTCAAAAATTAAGACTGAATTCAATAAAACTTTGTTCAATTTGTTTTCATATTTAGAAGTTGACAATATTAAATCTAGTGTTAATTAGAAGAACTGCATATTATTTGTTCTTTACCTGAATGTATTTTTCACAGCGATGCTACAATAAACGTGTTTGCGTTGTTTACTCGTAATTAGGCCCACAACAAATAGTTTTGTTCCCCTCAGCGACCGATCGAAAAATATGAAATATCGGGTCGCGTTTTTTTTAATAGGCCCAAATTATTGAAAATATTAAATATTAAAAATATCGCCGCACCTATTATTTTCTTAATTAAATAAAACATTATTTTGAATCAAAAACAATACGTTTGTTGTAGTAAATATAATTGTTAATACATGATATGCACAACATTTTATTGCATTTACAACACGTGATAAGAGCGGAGGACAGAGATGTTGAAGAGGACAATGTTGTTTAAGAAAAAACTGAGACCAAAACAATGTGCTGATGGAAATATAAAAAATACAAAACATTGAAAGAAACAATTTGATTTTTGTGTTTAATATCTAGCATGCGTTTGATTGATTCCCATATACCTCGGATATTTACGATACCCTTAGTTTTCACGAGTTGAAAAAAAAATCCGACCGACCGACCTATTTTTTTTAATTTTCCGACTTGAGGGCAACATAAGTATTTTTGGCCTCTCATTTCTAGACTGTAGTACACGCGCTTTCATGTATCAATTTAATTAGTGTTTCACCCTGCCAAACATCACTCTATCACGTTGAAGCTGATAACACACTCACATTTTGTCGGCTGCAGGTCAACTTAACCTTTTGGGACAAAAATAGCCATTTTTTTTAGTAAAAATGGAATTGAATCAGAAAATTGTATCAAATCTTGTCTGTTGGCTCTAAAATTAAAGAAATAGTGAAGAATATAAGAAAAGGCGCAGATAAATTTGATAGAGAGCGTCAGGTGGTGAAAAAGTTACCCTCATCAACGAAGTGAATGTGTTGCGTGTTGCTGTTCCCACTAGAACAATAAACTTTGTTTTTTATCCAGATTCGTCAATTTATATCGAAACATATCCTGAACTAGGTTTCGATCCGAATACCGGTTATCAGTTTAAGTTGCGACAGCTCGAGTGACTTGCGTCGTAATTTTCTATTCAAACAGAAACTAGTTGTTTTTGTCTAGTAAGAACAGGGTACATATATCGTTCTTTCACTGACTTGTTTGTGTTTGTGTTGTGTCCTTGGAGACTCTTGAACAGCGTTTTTGTCCATGGACTTATACATATAATTTAGATATTTGATTGGTATAATTGTTATTTATATTGAACGAAACAGTGGTGAGTCAAATGATTGTTACAAAATCTGTATATTTTTTTATCAAATGTTTTCAACAGATATTTAGTATTCACAGAATATTAATTGTTTATTTGAGAGAAAATACGTATCGTAAAATTACGTAAAATGTAAGCTAAAGTGGTTACTAGTAATTTATATCTTTTAAACATTGAGTGAACTCTGAATTGGTGTTTATGAAATAGTCTTACATGACGTTTTGACGATACAGATGAGTACGCTGTATCCAGACTAAGAACTCTTAGATAAATATGAAAACAGGTTGCCGACAATTTGTATGAAATGTTATTGTTCATCAGACTTGATGCTAGAAGAACGTCATATTTAAAAAACAAACAAAAAAAAAACATAAAAATAATTAGATAATCTGTGATTCATACTACACTTGTCAACTCAAAAACAGTAATAATAACAGAAACGAAACATAAATTACTCTCACCTCATTGGCAGTAGACTTGGTATATGCAAGCAGTGCTTGTATTATCAGTAGGTAAAACATTATTACATACGACATGCTTATCTCTGTTGGTGATACGGTGTATACAAGACTGCTCTGTCCGACAGACTGTTTATAAATGTGAGTGAAAATGTGTTGAAAGTTAATGTTGATTGAACATTGATTTCCATAATTTGATGCACGCATGCGTACTAGTATAACGTGCAAATTATTTATTTAAATACGCAACCACAAATCATTTTTTAAGATCGTCAAATGCATGTGACTGTCATATGAATATATATTGTCTTTGTTTAAACAAAAAAAATCAGCGCAGGTGACATTCCGGACATTGAATGTCACTGTTGTTTTTTCTGACATTTTTTTTGTATGTGCTAGTGCTGACACATATCCAAACCATATTTATGTTTGCAAGTGCTAAGCGACCATCTCTCTATCAAATCGCAATTTGAATGCATCAACCAGGGTAGGTCGAACACAAACACCGTTTGGTAATGAATCCCGATCAGTGAAATTGGGCTTTCCATTGAGCCTGTGGCACTTTTTTTTAATTCGAGACTACCGATAATGAGTCTGATGCGACAATCATTATGCTACCGGTAACAGGTCATATTCTTCATAATATAACAAATTAATTAAATTTAATCGCAAACATGGCGCCGAAAACACCATTAAACAACACGCGATAATTCATGTGAATCTGAAATATTAAAGAAATCTTGTTAGAAATACGTCATCTACATAGAAATGATGACGTAATTCAATGCGCTACGTTCAAACGCGCATGACTGATTCTTTTGTGCTGTTTGTACACATTTTTATTTGAGCAGACGTCAATAATCATCAATCCATGACGTGACACAACACACATTATGTTACGGCAAACGTTCAAACAATCGGAATAATGTTCAAATATATATGTATCCAATACAATTATTTTTGCAAAGATCAAACACACAGATGTCGTAGCCGATGCCAAGTTTTTTTACTCCACTTTCACAAACAATAATTACGGCAACATTCGCACTCAACATAATGTACACAATGATTTATACAATATTAACAAATACTCTCTTCAGTAGTCGTACATGAACATCTTTTCAATCCTGAATCGCGATCCCTTTCTCTTTACCACGATTTTCTATGATTACTATAATACCTACACTTTGATAACGTTTTCATAGAATTAAACTTGATCTGGTTTTGAATGCTTTTATTATCTACTATTCATTGGTTGGGGCAGAGTCAGGTAAAAATGTGTTACAATATAACTTAATTTCGTATATAAAAACACACACACATATATATATATATATATATATATATATATATATATATATATATATATATATATATATATATACGTAGCTTATATATTTTATCTGTGTTTATATACTGATATATAACCCACGTTCTTTATGTATAAAACATTGCACACTCGAAATACACTTACATATCTGCGTGCGTCTGATCTCACCCCACCCTAACATCAAACTTACACAGAAATAACGATATTTGTGATTTATATTTACCCTTGACCTCAATGACCACTATGGTTAATTGCACGTAAACCGCAGTTAACATAAAACTTAACTTGTTTTTAGTATAAATAAGTATAATAAATAGTCCTGGGTTTAATGCCAATACAAACTATTTATTATATTACGTGTTGTTGACACAAATGATCACCGAATTAGTTTCGAATTCTCTCGTGTTATCGTGTACTATTTTTGAATTACGTTATTACAGAGATTTTGGAAACAGTAGATGTCGCTGTCGATAGGAAGAACAAAACATCACGTCGCTATTTGCGCATAATATATCCATACACACCCCGTGATTATAGTCATTGTATTTCTCATACGAGATTTAAATACATTTATACATTTGAAGGTGTTTGTTTGAATTTAATGTTTTTTTTTCAATTACCGTCGTATTTATTATGAAAATAACACATACCGAACAACTTGACAGAATTTTCTACAAATCAAACACGGATATTAATATTCACATTCCATGGATGGCTACAACTTTACATAGGAAGAAAAATGTACAATTAATCTTTCCTGTTGAATTTAAATTAAACATCAATATATGCCTAAACGCCATTTCCTGGATTAAAAGATTATTTATAAATACAAAGTGACATATGTGTGATCTGTTTATATGTATTGCATTTAATATACATTCATTTGGAATGGGCGTATCATTGTAGGGTGTGAAATACACAACACATCACATATGTACTCGTGATTGAAACACCATTTACAAGTAACCATTTCGTGTATACAATTTCACAAAGGTGATATTGCAAATTTAATTTCATTAGGTTAAATAACATGTCACATGTTTTGAGCAAAAGGATTATAAGCAGAGACCATTAATTCAAATATTCCCTCTTATACTACTAGCTCACACGTATAAAGGACAGCTATTATGTTTTGCTCTCTTGCTGGCTTATTCAGTTCTTTTTTGACGACCTTAATTTTTGACAGCAACTAGTTAAAACCATAGAGCCCGAATCTTTTATTTTATATTTTGATATTTAAATATATTTATACTAATCGATATGAACAATTCATGTTATGATTTTATTCGATTAAAAGATCCAAGCTGAAATTTAAGGAAACCATAGAATTTGATTACTTTGCTCCATACATTATCTTAATTTGACTCAAAGAGCCAGAATCTACTGTACTGTATGTCAAAATACATATGATTTCGATTTTACTATTATTAATGTTTTAAAGTGGCAGGGTCGTCATCTGCGCACGCGCGGGAGTTGAGTTTCAAGCGATGATAACAACACACGCTAAAACGCAAAGACTCATGGGTAGACGCTTGTTTGTAAACATTGAAGCGCTATGGCCATCTGGCGCATGCGCAGGTGACGACTCCCTCGCTTTAAACTTCTACAACTGGCATCACTAAGTTCGAGTAATGTATCACATGTTCAGATTTTCCAGAAAGACATTGTCTTCATTTATCAAAACTTTTAAACCAAAAATAACTAGCCTTAATTTTCAACAGTTTCATTTGCTTATAACTTTCAATTTCAAAACAGTACGTACTACATTATCTCAGACGAAATTGACGTCATTCGGTTTAGGTGAACCTAAGGTTTGTCTGTAAAATCTTTTGATTATTACTGAGACTGATATAAAACACCTGCATTTCGTTATTTTTACGACAATATAAATTCATTCATTAGGCAGGTTTTCACCCTATATATGTTCATATCATTGTAAAAAATCAAAAAAAATATCTAATTTATCGAATACCACAATACTGATCATGTCGGCAAAATTGAATCGAGAAATTGTAACCAAGGGAAACATACAATTTCTTTGTGGAAAGATGACAAATTCTTCAATAAACAACAACGATGTTGTGAAAATTGGAATAAATCTATAATTTATAAGCAGGGTACACCACACTATTTTTTTAAAACTTTTATTCAGCTCGTACACAAGTAACTGACAGGGTACCGAATTCTTTGGCTTCTTCAGTTGTGTATCCTGGCGTTTTAAATATCACGTCAGGTAGGAGTATTTCAATTTACGCCCAGCAATTCATCTTTTGTGTAATTGTTGCCAGTGGATATACCGATATTTCAGTTGTAAACTATTTATATTTCAAAAGTAATATCATATTATATTTCTATGATTTTCTTTCAGTCATTACGGTATGTAATTGATTGGATTCATAGGCTCATAGTGCATTATAGAAAATCATGTATTGTCAGGTAAGGAAGCAATGAAAGATTGTGAATTTGCTTCAATTAATGATATATGATATGATATAAATTGTATTCAGTACAATGGCCTCAGTAAATCAAAAAAGTAGAAAAATACATACAGAGGGATTCCTTTAAATAATTGTTGAATCTACTAGTCACAACTGGTTAAGTAGATTGACTCCGTGTTTAGAAGCGTTGAATACAAATTTTGAAATTTGAAGTACAGATAAGTTGTCAAACTGCATTAAACGAAGAAATTTTTCGTAAGTCTAATTTGACAGATAAAATATAGTTTTTTTTCTAAGATTTACATAATGTTTAGTTTACGATCAGATTCAACCCGAAGGTTGTGGGATGATGTTCTAAGCTGACATAGCGCAGAACGTAACATGTTGTCTTTTATTAAATGCAAAAAATCGATCTTAAAATCCCTGTATTTATCGAGTTTAGGATAATTGTTGAAATCTGTAAACCAAGTTTGTTTGTACATATCATAAACTCTTTGGGTGAATAGAGACAAAATGATATATGCATCAGTTACCAAATTGCGGACACCTTGGTGAAATTAACATATCTAGTGGACAATAATCACCGAGTTTATAATCAATTACATATAAAGTCTAAAATAAGCCATGCTTATCTTGACGTGTAGTTCCAAAGGTAACGAACAAGAATCATAATGCATTACACTCATACCACTCCATAACATACTTGATCCGTATGACATAAAACAACAACAACAACATAAATTAACATATTCATAGTTTTTATTCATATTTTCATTTCATTAACTTGTAAGCTGTTTAAATCGATTCCAAATAATCGACATTTAACTGTTCTCGGGTACAATTATATGCTGGCCACTACAATATGAATCGTAAACTTGATATAATTTCCGTGATTTCAAAACTAATATGATTCCTCTTCAGTTCCAAGCTTAAGCGCAACTGCAAAACAATAAAACGAATCACAACAAACACTTTTGTTTAACATATTTGTATTCAATACATTCCGCTTACTTATCAATCCAATAGGCAAGCATAACATGACAATGGGTATTCGCAAAGGCGTTGCGTATACGATAGTAGATATACGATAGTGGTCGCACAAATAGCTTATATTTTGTTTCACTGGCGTTGCTAGCAACGTCTTCATAAATCTATGATTCACACACACATAAATACGCATTATCCCCCACTCAATGATAGTGCTATTTTCACAAATCCTATCATTTTTTTAAAACTAAAACTGGAAATTACAAAATATTACATATGAATAGTTATCATGTCTATGTTTTTGATTTTGATTCATGTTCAAATTATAAAATAAAATATTATGAATAAAAAAACTATATGATACATAACTGCGAAAATGTGTAATAGTTATTTTGAAAGATATAACAAATAAACAAGATAACGCAGTAGCTTACGTTATTCCGTGCACCTTCCAGCTCTCTCCGAATTCGTCCACGCCAATTGCAAGCGTACCATCAGGTTTCACAAAGTCATTTCTCCTGTCGCCATCGGCATTACCCAGAAGACCACACAATTTACCATTGTAGTCAGAGCCAACGAAAGATGCGTCAAACACGTGTCTGTACAATGTCCATTCCAATGTAAATGTTGTATTGTGGGACTTGAAACTGAACACAACCATTTTCCCGTCTTCCTCTATCTGTATTCTTCTCGGTTTTGATACCAATCCTGTGTCCCCCTATAATAAGTATAAAATTACTATAAACAATTTCAATATGCGACTAACCATTTTACCTATAACACTACGATAAAGACTTTCCGTTATCGACATTTTGGAATTCTTTCGTTTTTGGGGGGAACAAACCCTGAAAACTGGTTTTGACAAGATAATTCAGACATTTATATTAGGAATAATTCATAGCGATATGTATTCCCTATGCACCCATGAATAATTTCTATAATTACGAATTACACAAGAATATTACAGAAAAACGATAATTTGCTATATTCTCTATATTTTTGTTCCTTTTATTTGTCTTGAATTATGACTGAAAGAAGCTGAATGAAATTACAAACTATGTAGTGTGTTCAACAACTCATGTATGAACAATAATTTAATTAAAATTTGATTTTACTTGTTGAAAATACAGTATTTTTCTACATAAAACGAAAGGTTTTCACAATGTCGAAAACGAAAAGTCTTTATCGCAGTGTTCTATACTGTATTTATTAATTATTTATCCTATATTTGTGAAAACGTTAAATTATTTGACGATTTTTATGAAATTGATACAGCATTTAGTTATGTAATTTTCGCCCACATTATTAATGAAAAAGTACAAAAAGTAAATGTGTATTAGAAAATAACAACGTGGACAGTTTTTTGTTCTTTATTTGTATTTATAGTTGAAAAAAAATATTATCAATCAAATACCAACATTTCAATACCATATACATTTATGGTATGGTACAATCTATTGGGAGACTTTTGTTACAATAATTAATGAGGAAAGGCTAAAAGGAAAAATGTAAATTAATCAGTCAATATTTGCATTTAGTTTGCACATCACTTACTGTAACTACGTGTAGACGATCGACAATAGCGTATTCATCACCAACAGTGATGTTTATTGAAACAGTTCTTGTTCGTAAGCGGTCACTTAGGCTACCATTCGGGGTCTCAAACTTCGCTCTGACCTCAAATGCAGGGCTCGGATTGGTGCAGTCTTTAAACAGAGTATGCCAGCACAGGCCTTGATAGCTGTAACGACGTCCATCAAATGTTCTAACATGGGGGTCTCCCCTCACTCCTCCACTGGATTTTACTAAAGATATGGTAAAAAAAGAAGAATATAACAAATATGTGAATATATTTCGAATCAAAAGTATTATGTTTTTGGGAGAACACAAAATGTGAATAGAAGAGAACAACGTGTTTTGTTGTTGATAACATATGTAAGGTGAAAACTTGCCTAATTTGTAAATACTAATTTCGGTCATTCCACCGCAAATCTGGGATTGATCACCCATACATGGCCAAGTACAGAAATCTTCTTCGACTGGTATGTACGTTTCTAAATTGAGTCCGCAAAAGCATGCATCACCGAACTGTAACCCGAAATATGACACACTTGAGCTGTCCATTTCACTTGCGCATGTATCAGCACATGTCTCTATTGTCATTGCTTCGTCATAAGTAGGTGGCGCTATATCCATCGACAGATGTTGTACATCATAGTAACACCCCATGTAGGTCTGTGAAACTGTGAATATTTATGGTGTTATTAAAAATTATAAAAAAAAGGGAAGTAAAACAAATCTTACCCACCATAGACATTTAAACATCGAAAGTTTAGTCTGCGTAAACAAAAGAAACGACTGGCAGTATTTGGCAATCCAACGGACAAGTTCACTGCACATCAAATTCGAATCAGTAAAAACAAGATATATGGACTGTATAGTATAGATCAAGTGATGAATGGTATTTCGACAACAGTTAGCACTTTATGATCTACAAGGTAGCACCCGCAATATAATTTTCAGTATATTAACAATGTATGCACAGCTTCATGAAACAAAAAATAATATTCCAGTGATTGCCACCCACTATAATAAAGCTCAATGTATATGAAAAATAAACAGATTATAACAATCGCACAAAGTCCCTGACCTTCCAAACTATATAAAGATATCAACATGCTTTTTATAATCGAGTCGTTGCCATGACCGCAAAATTATATAGAAAATAATAAATAAATATCCAAGAAATTAAAAAAAAAAAATATTTCATAGACCACGGATTGTGGATGACGGTCGTTAATAGGAAAGTCCTTTGGATGGTAAATTTGGTAAAACATATATCTAGTAAATATGACTTACTTGCCCGTTTTCCAACTGATATCTAAAGGGAATAAAGACATTATTAATAATTATCATAATATATTCTGTATGATAAAATCGTTATTTCTCTACATTGCCGCAATCGACTACACTTTTGTTAGCATTTTGTGGTTTTCCAACCCGACCTGCCATTTCAATTCACGGAAACGTCACCTATGAAATACATATATATATATATGTCTATGAAAGCCTGGAGATGGGAGCGGTGACAGTAAACCAAAAGGAGCCTGGTCAGTATACATTTATTCATTCTTGAGAAAGACACTTAAGAACGTGAATGAATTGAAAAAATAACGATTTCATAACCTTGCGAGTAAAGATTAGTTATTTGTTTTTTGTATTATGTAATAGCCATTGAGTCGTTAACAAATATCACAGTTGGTTTAGCTTTGAGATGATTGTTGATATGATAAGCATTACAAACAAATTGACATTCAGTAGAATTTGCAGCATTCAAATTAGTCATGGAATAATACATGCGTTTCATTTATCAATCTATATAATTAGGACATTACTGGCAAAGTGCTTGCGACTAGCCGATACTGGATGATATTTGATGACCGCCATGTTATTATCACGAGACTTGTAAAATTGTCAGTTTTGAACAAATAATCAAAGTTGAGATTCTAAATGTTTACAATATTGTGAAAAAAAAAACAGTGAACGTTTGCAAGTGAAACGTTAAATAGCGTCGAATCATTTTGTCTATGCATATTGTGTCTGATATGACCTTGAAGTAAATTTGGTGTGTAGATGTCACACCTACGCACTCGCACAAAAAAAGCAGCAAAACAAATCAAAATCAAAACTAATTGTTATGATCAACTGCAATGGTCCCCGACAAGTTAATACATATTTAAATACAATATTTGAGAACGACCAGCACTGAATGAAAGGCAGGGATATATATCTACACTAGTAACGAACGTGCATAATAAAAGTCATATACTTACCTTACTCGGTGCTGCTTCGCTACAACTGATTAGTAACAGTACTACCAATAGCTGCATGGTTTGAATGGTTATAGACGAAACTTCGATGAATGCGTTTGCAGTTCGCTGGATTTTCAGACAGCAGTCACTGTTGGTGCGAATATGTGGTTCTGCAATAAAATGAAGTGTAATTGAATATATATGTATGTGTGAACACATGAAATGTATCATGGAAATTAGACGCTGGTTATGAATACATGCATCATATGCACCTAACATACATCGGTACCATGCGTCTAACAGCAAAGATCATACCAATGCAAAACACACTCAAATCCTAAAGTATAAAAACGTTGATATTTGCCTTTTAAATTGAGTTGGTCAATTGAAGCGCTCTGGTAATACGGCTGTTGTATTAACCGGCGGTTGTTGTCACCTAATGAGGAGAATAGAAAAGAATATGATAACATTTCTTGATTCATTTTGGCAAATAAACACCTGATCATCATGAAAAAAACAAATATATATATATATATATATATATATATATATATACACAACACAATGTTCAGATACCAACTGCCTTCACTTTCATGCAAATGTGTTATGATGTTTGGAATAGGGATATTCAGGGTTAATTTCCACAGACAGAAGCTAGTGCTTGTTTTTAATGACGTCACTGTGCACTACGTCATGTGACTCACTGCTGCGGTCTATTAATAATAGTCTAAGTGATTTTTAGGCAATAAATTTCCTAACGTTTCACCGGAAGTGACAACAATTGGAGATAAACATGTTTTTATCGTCTGCACATTTTCTTGTCGTGTATGTAACGCGAACATTTCGTTCGACGCTTACTCAGTCCTATTTCTATATCTCATATGCAAATGACCTTTGACACAACCGCGGGTTGCTTGGTTTCCCTTAATGTATGCTTATTGATTACGAGAAACAACGTCACGAATATTGTAAAGTACATTGCAACACGAATGCGGGCCTATGTGCCCACACTGAAATAGAATAGTTGCTCATTTGCACTCAGACCAAAACTCTCATATTTAGTCAACAATGTATAATCAGCGTAAAATGAAAGAAGATCCCATATGCTAAGGTACAAAATATTATTATACATCTGTTACCGTAACGCCATAAGTTACAGCATTCCGTAACTTTGCGGTATTGCACTGGTTATTTTTATTCTACCATATGAGGAAACGCGAATTCCAAATATGGAACGATTACGCGCGTAATCGTCCTCCAACAATAAAAAACAAACAAACATGGCTCCCCACGGGTTTGACCGGACTCCACACAAAGAAGTTGGCTAACTCTGTTCTAAACTTTTTGTATTTCGGCATTCCCATAAAGTATCTTTGGAAGGAAAAAATGTTTAATAATCAGGTTATTATAAGGATACTGCAAAGTATGCACTCAGACAGTACGTGGTCGCATCGATACTCCCGCTGTACAGTCTTCGCACATACTTTGCAGTATCCTCTTAATAATCTCATATTATACAAATGTAATTGGACTATATCATAGTTATACCCGGTATTGTACATGTAAGTAAATAACGGTACGTACAATTATATCATTCAGTCACTCATTAGTAGTCCAGATTCATATATTTCTACTGAATAAACACAGTTCACATATGTCGCGTAGAGTTTGCATACATGTTCGCACATCCGGGCATTTTGCTTACAGTGATAAAAAAACAAACATTAATTCTGCGAAAAGTTTTATTCATTTTTGAGCTATCTACCTGCATGAACATTTATGATCACTTTATGATTGCTAAGGCTGATTAATTGACATTTTAGCAGAACATTAACTGGAATATAATGTTATCGGTAAACTTTGTGACATTATATGACCAATTCAAATGTGCGCATACGAATAGCATTAAATGAATAATCATTAAATATTCATTGGCGAAGATAAGCCGATTATATTTTCGCTGTAAGCTCAAAGAACCTGCGGGAATATTCTACATATATGAAAATCATAATTTGACCAATATGTGGCATATATTGAACACTTCCGTAATTAAAAAAAAACTACAATTAAATTCACTGTGATATTATTATTAAAACAGTAAAAAGTCCTCAGATATGGAAGACCTCCTGACATCTTTATTAAAATCATTGGTTAAACGACAGTATCTGTGTCCAAGATTGCATTTATATTAAGATCATATGACCATTTATGAATATTGAATATTTAGATGAGACACAGTGTTTAATGTCTGCAATAGAAAACTGACTCGAGGTCTCTCTCTCCAATAGCTTTCAACATGTGAATGTTGTGTCTTAATTACGTTAGGTGACTATATACGGTCATTAAGTACGTTTATCACATATAGTAGGCAAGGACTTGAATATAATATTGTGAGAATGTTTCTATCTACAATGCTACTCCTGATATATGGCCGGTAACCTTTATATCCGCTTTATATCAGCACTTTGTGCCAATGAATAATAATGAATTGGGATTTTTTTGGTTTCAGTATAGAGCGATAAATGATTTATACAATAGCTAATAATAATGTTGAAATGGTGCTGCAATTAAAATAAGTGTTTATATCCCTGGGCAGATAAAAGGAAATGTAAGTTTATGTTTAACGTACAGTTTGCCTGTGTACACACGGTTATTTACTTACTGTGTGTGTGTTTGGTTTGTCTCTACTCATTATGGAACATGACATTCTAGTGTGCTCTAATTTAAAGTTCATTTTCAAGTTACATTCAGGAATAAAGTTTAGCTTCAACACGTATGATATATTGGTCTTTATTTTTTTTTCAATTGTACCTTCAATTTTTCAATCTTTTAATTTACGAAACCAAACATGTTAAAATTAAAAAAGTAGTATGTTAATATGTTTAATATTTTGAGATGAAACGGGCATTTATAGGACAAATACATTATTTTATTGTTGGGAATGTATATTCATTCTTTAACAATAGTATTGAATGAGGTAGTGAACATTGAGGAGTAGTAAACGTAGGCCTTCAATAAAAAACTTCAATATCTATATTTATTGCTCCAACATAATTTATTTGTTGATTACAGTGCATTTTATGTTGCAGAATTTCAGCATGTCACAGGTTGGTGTTCAATTAAGAATACTTCTTTTTACATTTTAATGACATTTGTTTTTGCGGTATATCGAAACTATTCGTCTGAAAATGATCGATTATGTTATTATTTGTTATACCTGCATTTTCCCCACAAATGTAATTTAATATTGCAAGATATTTGTTTTCTGTATTTAAAGAAATGTCTCATTAACGTTTCAAGTATTACTATATGTATTACACGGGAAAACATGGGTCTGCAACTGCGCTATATTTGTTGATGTAACACCGACATATACAATTTCGCTTTGTATATATGTTCTAAATATTTACTTTAGTTCTAGCAATTATACGAAAAATGGTGTTTCCAAAACACTATTTTCAACGCGGTGTTTGTTTATGCTAGTTGTGCATCACGTGAAATACGATAAACTGGTTAAATTACCCACAAAATAAAAATTGCTTAGTGAGACAATATTCTGTTTAAAGGTTTTGTTTTTGGTTACGTATAATGGTTATGCAATTTTGACATAATTAATCGATTGGATGAGCCTTTATAAATTTACATGTTATCTCGGTGCACACATTTCTTTTGGTCTGTGCATGCATGCTATATAGAGAAACATGAGTGATCAGCAAACTAGGTTAGTCACTAAATCACATGGCTGAACGAATAACTTGTCTTTAGGAATCTATAGAGGGCGCGGTACAGAAGTACTATGATATGCATATGGCGCTACAATACGATATGTTATGTGTATCTGTTATAAACTTATACTTGATTATGGGAAAAGTATAAATACTGAATCGTTGTAGATATGTGTTGTAAAACGCCATGATTGCCGGTTATTTTCGACCTTTGTCGATCTTCCGTAGAGTTATCTGTTCTGTTTCTAATTTATTTTTTCAGTATTGCTGATCCTTAGTCTCATTGATTTTAGTCAAGGTGTTTTTATGTGGGTCACTGTGATTTTTTTCGTTTTTTTGCCAAAATAATCCCAAAACAGTTTATGAACAGTATGAGCATTAATTTTAATAACTTTGATTTTGCTTGATTACAATACTGTTTTTCCTCCGTAAAAAACGAATAAATTTAACATTGTCGAAAACAGAAAGTTTTCATCGTAGAGTTTTGTAGTAAACGGATATTCACATTTAAAACTGACGTAGATTTTCAGTCCCCCTGTATGTGAATAGGAGCAATTGTATTGATTAATATGCAGATGTTTTGTTATCTTGTCTGAGCTAGGGGACCTGGTTTGTTATCTTATGCAAACAAGTTGATGTTTTATCACAGTGTAGTTTAGCATTGATCCGCTAATTGAAGATATGGCTCTGCATTTTGTGTATGTATCAGTGAGTGTGAGGTGCTCTGATTAGGCTATATGATGCTAGCATGTGTATCATGCGTGTCCTATTGTGTGAGAGCAGGGCGCCGTGGTTTTGTTGTTTTTGCTGATATACTATTGTAATGCAATGCCACGACAATATATTAATTAGCCAATCAAAGTTAATTTGCATGCAGAATACCAACAGCTGTAACCTCGCGATGGGCGCAACATCGGTACAGAATGAAATATTGTTATGGGGAGAGGGGAAAAGAACGAGAGCAGTGACAAGTTAGTGGCCATTTGAAGATACGATTTAAATAATTCGTGTACTTTATATATGTATGTATCTAGTTGTCCATCACAGCTCGTCAATCAATTAAATTCGGCATTGCAACAATGTTACTTCAAATGCCATTCAACAGTTGGCAACAGACACAGTAGTGATTATTTGTACGACGATTTTACCGGCCACATATATCGAATTGTATATGTTGTTTTGCAGGATGGTGTGCGACCACTCATGTTGAAATGCATATTATAATTGATTCAATTGTTGCATGAATAATTCATCAATTTCAATTTTAAACTGGGTTTAAAGCATCATGCATCTCATACACATAATGATTATGTTTATATTGCTATTTTATCTATAATTTTATATTGTTCTCTACAAAGAAAAAAAAACCTTACACACATTTTGTTTGATTTGCCTTTTCACTGTGATGTGTATTTACATCTTGTTTATGCTTTTGTCATCATGTACAAAAGCAACGACAAATAAACAATATTTATTCATAATTTACATAACGCGCGTTGTTTACAATCACATGAGCACCCTTAACTCGGTGTTTTATTTACAGGAATTCATATGATTTACATAAGCTCTAATCGTAGATTATGTGAGAATACCAGAACGCGTAAATGGCATATCTTATATAAATGGAATTGTCATACAAATAGTTATATGTGCTATTTATTCAAGTGGTGATATGCCTTTTTGTAGCCCATGGTAAATACCGAATAAAAGGGATTTGTTTCGGTTAAAGAACGGTCGATAGTCGTCGCGCCGCGTCC